AAAGAAAGAAAGAAAGAAAGAAAGAAAGAAAGAAAGAAAGAAAGAAAAAGATGAAAAAGTGAAAACCAAACAGAATTCTAGACATCATTCATTAAATTGGTTCAGTCGCTAAAAGGAGAAAGTGAGAAAAATGATCATTCAAAATTTCAAAAGTTTCAGTTTTGACAAAAAACTAGAAAATTTTGAAACAACAAAAACAAAAGCTTTGTACAAAAGTTTTCAGTTTGGGGGAAAATAGCCATTTATTGGTTGAACTAGGTTTTGAATGAAAATTTTCATGTGCTTCCAGCTATGCCCCGGTCCTCCCTCTGTTAGTAGAGCAAACAAAGGGTTAAAGGTCCAGGAAGGGAGCTAGGAAAGAAAAATCCCTCTGTTAATTGATCTGCCTGTCTGGTGAGGAGGGCCAGCTGAAGCTTGTCAGAAAGGGCATGAGCTGAATCAAGCTTGGGGCCCTAAGTAAAGTACAGACACCTGGAGAGGGGAGGGGCTTGATCCCTATATATGCAGCTATTCGGCTGCTCTTTTAAAGTGGGTAGACAAGGGTGATGTTTAAATGGTGCTGAGACTAGGTTTAAGGGATAATAGCATTGCTTCCATTGAAAAGCAATAAGGTTAAATGTCTATAAACTGCATGTAATGCTATTATTTTGCTAGCTAGTATGTATTTGTGGATCATGCTGGCATGTTTTGGAGGTAACTTTCTGATGATTCAGAAGACAGGGTCATTGGGGATCCTAGTCACAGGCATTTCTCTTCACAAGAAGAAACAGCATTCTTATCAAAGCTTGTAGCAGCCCAATTTGACTTCAGATTAAACAGCTCTAGGCCAAGTCCTCCAATGATATCAGCCTGTGCCTTTTACTCTAATTATGAAATGATAGAAGAGATTTCAAAGTCACCAAACATTTCCCCTTTTCCTTCCTGCCCCTGTCCTGCTGCTGCCCCCACACCTACCCACACAGGCAATCTGGCTATGACTCTGCATGCCACTTTGTGTGACCCTGAGTTTACAGCATTAGCGTAGGTGTGTACTTTTGAACCTTTCTAAGAATGAATAATATCCAGGCAATAAAATGAATTCCATTGTTTTTAACAGAAAACCCTCTGATTTCTAACTGCAGGGCATATCACAAATTGGTGGTTTGCAGGATGAACGACTGGAACTATGTGGATAGATTATACCCCAAAGTAAATTAAAAAAAAGAAAATGGGGACCTACAGCTTCACTTGCTCAGTTGCCATTTGTACTTTTGGAAAGTGGGTGTAAAACACTGACAACCTGCACTCACTTTGCTCAGGGGTAAATGGCTACGCAATGCACCAGGCAGCAGAGAGTCAGGTGTTTAGACTTTAGAGTAAGTGGAGGAGGGAGTAGTAGAGTAATTCAAAGGCTCTAAACCCGTCTATGTTCTAGAGTATTTTTTTTTTTA